ACATTAATTTTTTAATCGTTTATATTGAGAAAGACAATACTCCGAAACAAAATGAATAATAAGTTTCTTACAAATAATTTAGTTATTTATATTAAGAAAGATATTACTATTGTCGAACAAAATTTTTCTAAAGTATAAGCTTTTTTCTTTTTGTTTCTTTAGATATATATGTTATATAAAATTATTGTCTATTATAAATCTTTTGATTATTAACAGTTAAGTTTAATATATTAGCTCTAAAATTTTTTAACTTTTATTCTTCTTAACCTTTGGCTCTCCTAATAAAAATTGACTAGCTCCGCCCTGCTTATATCTCAATCCTATATGATATAATATTATCTTTTTCATTTCTAAATATTTGTTTTCATTTTATTTTCATACAAATTAAGATAAAATTTTTTATTTTAGTATACTTTTATATTATGAATGTTTAATAATTTTTAATTTTAAAAAATAAAAAAATAAATTTATGACATAAAAAAGTAAAAATATTAAGTATTTTAAAATAAAAAAATAATTTCATTTTAATACATTTTTAAAAAAATGAGATGAAAGGAGTACTACACATACTTATTCGTCATGAGCATTTACTTATTCATTTAAGAAATAATACTTTCAAATGTCTTTAAACTAGTTAAAAATATTCAAATAAACTCTTATTCTTTTATTTAGTTTAACTAAATTTTATACATTTATTTTGAATCAAATACTAATTATTCTTAGTCAAAATGTACTTGTCATATTATAAAATATTAGTATAGAGGGTGCAGAATACCATGTAGTTATATTATTATTCACTATAATATATCAGCATGTCACACTAGTACTATGTAACATAAAATGATAATTGTCATTTTAACTAACAATCGTTAATCATAGGAGTAAACCCAAGAATTTTTTTGAGTAGTTTCGTAACTAAAATAATAATAATAATAATTAAAAAATATAAATATATTAAAATCCATAAACTAGAAGTTTTAACATTAAATTAAAGAAAATATAAATTTAGTATATTCATTTAATATTTCAAGATATTATTTGACATGCAATACTATTTTTAATTAACTGAATTGTAATTATTAACTCAAACTATTAAATTAATCAAAAAATTTAGATATGAAATATTTAAATTTTTAATTTAGGTTGAAAATAACTTTCAGTTGAAACTTAGATGAATTGTTTTGAGAGAATGAAAAACACAACTAAAAAACAAAGAAGAGGAAGTGTCATTGTTGTCTTTAAGAGTATATTTGAATTTTTGGAGAAAGAGGGAAAGTAGTTTTAGTTTTGATTTATTTAATAAAATCTTAAATTATAAAAGACCATTTTTTATCTTTTCATGTAGTATTTAAATATTAGTATATAAATTACATATTGATAAATTCATTTTGATTTGAAGTTTTTGACCCTACTCTTTATAAAATTAAAAAAAAATTAATGAGATCATTAATATCATTAATTACACAAAAACTCTAGCATAAGTAATATAATAAATATAAAGTTATGACCTTTCATTGAATAGGTGGTGTCATGTGACACCACTTTTGTTAATGTAGGTTCATCCATCTTTAGTTATATTGGTCTATTTAATTCAAAATAAAAGTATAAAAACTTAATTAAATATAAAAAAATTAATTAAATTTTTTTGATTAATTTAAATTTTTTTAAAATATTATACCTTTATTTAATTAATTCTATATTTATTTATATTAAAGTAAAATAAAATGAAATAAAATTGTTTCCGCTAACAATTTGTCCACTTTTTTGAGTTGCAACATCATCATGACTATATATATATATATATATATATATATGATTTTTATATGAATAAACTTTTACTCATATCTCATAATTTTTGAATTACTTGAACTATTATTGATTAAAAAATTACAAACTACAAAACAAAAGGCATCATGAACAATAACATCAATTACAATAACATGGTGGATAAATTTAATTTTTTTATAATTTTAATATAAATTATGTAATAATAATAAAAGGAAAAAAAACACCAATGATGAGTCATGAAAACATATATAATTTGGATAAAATATCTCGATTTTTTTAAGTTTTGATCGAAATTATATAAAGATCTATTATTTTTGAAATGGACACTTTATCTCAATAGTATAAACACCATTGACAAAGTTATGAAAGATTAAAATATCTTTTTTTATTAATTTAAAAAATTATTATTTAAAAAAATAAAAAAAGCATTGATCGTTGCTCCTCAAGGGAGCTCCGATGACCCTTAATGGGGAGTTTTTTTTTAATTAATAAAAAAATAAAATTATATAATAGTTATAAAAATTAATTCATAATAATATTATCTATTTATTCTTATTCAATAAATTGATAAAAATATTAACAATTGACTAACTGCTAGATTTATATGTTTAATAAAAAATATTATTTTAAAATAAAATATCTAATTAAAAATTAATAATTTTTTATATAATTTTGATTAAAATTTAAAAGATTAAATATTTTTTTATATAATTTTAGTGATATTAATTAATAATTTAGGGGCGGCAAAGGTAAGAGTCAAGATGAAGTTGGGTGGTTAGGGCCGTACCCTAAGTACGCTTGGGATCCTCGAAGAGTCAAGAATCGTAATTGGCTGGCCCAGCTTTCCGCATTGACTTTGGAAGACAAGCAGTGTTGCTAAAGTGCGATCATTGAATGGAAATCAATTGCCTAACTTTGTATTCATCATAGTAACAGACAGGAGTGGAGCTGGACCGTCAATATTTAAGACTTGTGGCATCTATAAGTAGCTGAAAACACGTTCGATTGGATTTCATTAAATGGCTTGACATTTGACTTTGACTTTGGTTTGTTTAGTCTTTAGATTAGATTAGGGTAAACATTTATAGTTTCAAATCCAAATAATATATTTAAATTGATTCAATTCCATTAATTCAAATTGATTTTTTTTCAATTCCCATGTTAGTCAATGCACACAAGGAATTTATTTAGTTATTTTAGTCGATTTTTGATATCTAAAATTTAAAATTAAATCAATCAAAAAATTAATTATTAATAATATATTTGTTAAAAATACTTCTTTTATATAAAAATATTCTAATGATGCTTAATCCATACATGAAATACCCTTCATTAAAATTACAATAATCTATTTAATTTATCAAAATAAATTAATTTTATTATAATTCAGATAATTTTTTAAAATTTAAAATCGAAGCTATCACTTGACGAAATTGATTTTTTAAGTTTTGATATTAATCGATTCACCAAAACAATTTATTTAGTTATTTCAATTAATTTCTGCTATATAAAATTTATAATCGAATTGATCGACAAAAATAATTATTAATAATATATTTTTTAAAAAAACATCTTATAAAATATAAATATTATATTTATGTTTATAACATACCTGCAAAGTACCCTTCATTTAAATCAAAATAATAGAGTAAACCGATCTAGATAAATTAATTTATACAAAAAAAGATAAAATTCTCGATACTTACGCACTGAGTGATAGCTGGTACAATTTTATTTGTCATAAATGTTTATTTAAAAGTAATTAAAAGAGGGAATGAGATGGCACCACTTACTATTTGACACCTTTCAATGTTCAATATTTTGATTCCTTGTGCTTACTATGCATCTATAGTGGAATGTGGTAATGGGAGGCCAAGTGGAAGCTGCATTCATTACGAATTAGAAGATTTCATTACACCCATGAAATGATGATGCCACTGGACCCCATCCAGGGAAATGTCGTGCAGCACGTGCGGGAACTGCGTTACACGCTCCACGCAGCGCGTCTCAAGTACTGCATCACAAAGTGCTCATTTCAACTAAATAAACAATAGCTAAATTTCAACTTCACTTTTAATTAACATTGTGTCAATGTACATTGACTTTTTAACTAATATTTCTTGATTAAACTGTTAAATTTTATTAAATAAAATTATATAAATATTTTTATTGAATATTTACGAAAACAAAAATTATTTATAAGATGTTATGTAAAATGTACCCAAAATAATAATGGAACTAAATAATAGATAAGTTCCAACCACATTCATTGGGGGTTTAATTTTATTTTATAAAGTACTTTGTGACTTTTTTTTTAATTAACACCATGTCAATGTTTTTTTCCCTAATTAGTATTTCATAATTAAATTGTTAATTTTATTCAAAAAAGTTATACAAATATTTTAAAATATGAACAAATTAATTAATTTTGATTTGTAAATACTTTAATAATTAAATTAATAAAATAACAGCTTCATCTTTATGAAAACGAAAATTATTTATTTATAAGGCGTTAATCGGTGATTCATAGAGTATTAAATAAAAAAAATTACGAGATGTTAAGGGAAAGGCTGTAAGTGAAATTTACTTGAAATAATAATAAAAATAAAAAATAAAAAATAAAAAATAAAAAATAAAATAATAGTCGTAGTTGAAGGCATGGGTGGTTCGTTGGGGACTTGGGAAAAGATATATTGGCCACACAAAATCGCAATTGAAACTCCTTGGGCGCTCAGCTTTGCTGCTACTTAGGAGGAGCTACGACTATAAGCAGTGTCTGTTTATTTTTTTGTTCTTTTCTTTATTGGAAAATCAAAAGCAAAAACTGAGAGAGATTGTTAGTTTTAGGAAGCTATCCATGGAGCCAGAATATGGAATCTCGACTCCTATTCGAAATCCTTCCTCGGTTAGGGTTTTTTTTAATTTTTTAATTTAAAATTTTTGAATATTGTTCTTGTGCGTTTGATGTTCATTTCTCATTCGTAATCTGCTTGTTTTGCGATGCTTTAGAATCTTTGGGTTTCATCTTTCTTCTCTCAAACTAACTTATCTAATCCTTCTCAATCTGAGCTCCGCTCTTCAGCTGTCGTCGTCGCTCTCCCTAGACACCGCTGCTTCATTTCTTTATTGTAATCTTTGTTTTTGTATCCGGAACTTGTGTTCCTGAATTCCACTCTTAAGTGAGCGTAGATTTTCGTCTACGAATCAATCCAACTCTGTTCTGCTGTTGGCAACCTACCCTTTGCTGATTTTTAACTTAGTTTGTTTTCCATGTGATTGATTGTTTCTTATCTTTTTTTCTTTTTCTTTTTTAAATTTTATACGAGGATTTACTATTACTAATAAGAGGTCGACTCCTTTATATCATAATCATATACGATGTTTGTTTACTTTTTTTACTTGTTTGACTTGGGGCAAGCATGTCTTCTGATATAGCGATATAAATTTGAAATATTTTGAGTTCTCCTGATAGATCCATAAACCTACCATGAGAAGGTTAAATGAAGATTCAGTTGTTCATTTTGCTAGAATAGATTGTTATCGGTTATAAACTAATTTCCGGATTCTAGTTCTAAGTTCTAATTCTGTGGCATAATAGGATAGTTTAACTGTTTCATTGGATAAAGATCTCACCTTTTACTAATTGCACCTGCAATTCTTTTTTTTTTTTTTTGAACTTCTTTTGGCTTCCCCGTTGATTAGAGCAGCTCTTTTGACCTTCGCAATTTATAAGATTGGACATACTGAAGTTTTGACCTGCTATTTCATCGCCCCACTGTCACGAAATGGAAGATGGAAAAGTATTATTCCGGGGGACAAGGACAACTATCCTATCCTGCATAATCAGCATGTCCTATTCCGACTTGAACAATGCTTAAAAGTTCCATGCTGATTACTGCAGCAAAATCTTATATCTAATGACCACTGTTGTCAAAACAACTTCTTGAAAACTAACATGAGGGCATAGCAACAATTTGTACTATGCATATGATGACTTTGGTTTTTGTTTGGTGTTAAATCCTAAAATTGGACTACTTTCCCCAATTGTTTTTTTAATTTAGATTTCCTTTTTCTTCTTAATATTCTGTGTATTGACCACTGCTTGACTTTCCTGGAGTTTTAGTTTTCGGTATCTTTTGACATTAATCATGGCAAAACCTTTGTGTTCTTCTTTGAAACTGTAAATTATTAAGTACCTGTATCACTTTTGCAGCTTTCATGGGTCAACCTCTCGAGGAACCTAATATTAGCGTACCAGAGCTTGGGGGTGGTGTATGGAGACCTGAGCACTTCACCTCTTTATGTTTACTCAAGCACATTCATAGGGAAGTTGCAGAATCATCAAAATGAAGAAGCAATATTCGGAGCGTTTTCCTTGATTTTTTGGACCCTTACATTGATACCCCTTCTCAAATATGTGTTTATCTTGCTGAGTGCAGATGATAACGGTGAAGGTATGATTCACTTGTTAATAAGATCAAATTAAATATCCTATTGACTCACCATTTTCAAGCTGATCTATAACAATTCTTGTCAGGTGGCACTTTTGCTCTTTACTCGCTGCTTTGCAGGCACGCAAAGTTTAGCTTGCTTCCCAATCAGCAAGCAGCTGATGAAGAGCTCTCCACCTACAAATATGGGCCCTCGACACAGGCTGCTGGTTCTTCTCCGTTGAAGCGATTTTTGGAGAAACATAAAAGGCTAAGGACAGCCCTTCTTGTTGTGGTACTCTTTGGTGCTTCTATGGTCATAGGTGATGGTGTGCTCACTCCAGCAATATCAGGTAGATATTAAACTGGATAACTAAAGTTGACTCTCAAATTCCTTGATTATCATCTTTCTGCTGTGGATTATAAAGTCCGATACTTATTCCTTCCTGTAATTTCCTCTTAAACATATGTGGGACAATAATATAAATTATTGGTTCTAGCTTTTATTATGTCAATATGATTGTGGAGGAAGGTTGTGAGCTTGAGAAGACATTCATATGAATAACTCTGCTGATGTTGTGCATATGAACATTACGGGACACTTCAATGGATACAATCCAAGGAATAACTCTGCTGATACTTAACACCTTAAAGGCTCAATTTAACAAATCTTTAGTCCCAAACTAGTTGAGGAAAGTTGAAAGCATCCTTTTCCTCGAAGTTGCTTTGCTGAACCATTTGTCAGACCATGCAATCAGTGTGGCAACACCGCATGTCATGTTAGGATATATATGACTATGTTGATTTGGCCTCCAATGATTTAGTTATGGAGACCAATCATCAGAAATACTTTCATGATTTATAGTGGTACTAACATGGACTTCCATATTCACTCTTTTCGTCAAACAGTTGCATGACTTTAGAGGTAGATACTGTTTGACATGAACTGATGCTTGTATTTCATCATTAAGTAAAATTTCCAACTGTTTTGTTGCTCTACCTTGTGTCTTTTTGTCTGGAACTGGTTGTATTAATTGTTTCTCTCTCTCTGTCTCTCGCCATGGTTAAGGGATTAAATGTTTTCGCATTTGCAGTTCTCTCATCGGTGTCTGGGCTAAAAGTTACTGAAGATAAACTAACTAATGGTAATTCAGCTCTCTAATTTGTTTTTCTTTTCCTTTTTTTTTTTTTGCTAATTAATCCTTTTAAGTTTTGGGTTCATAATTTCTCTTGATATTTCCCTTTTTGGCTTAATAAATTGGCTTTATTTTCAACCTAGGTGAGGTCCTCTTGCTTGCCTGTGTCATATTGGTAGGCCTATTTGCTCTGCAGCATTTTGGCACACACAGGGTAGCATTTATGTTTGCGCCGATTGTGATCATCTGGCTGGTCTCAATTTTTTCCATTGGTTTGTACAACATAATACATTGGAACCCAAAGATTATTTGTGCAATTTCTCCATATTATATTATCAAGTTCTTTAGAGAGACTGGTAAAGATGGCTGGATTTCTCTTGGAGGGATCCTTCTCTCAATAACTGGTAGGTTGCATCTCGATATCAACAGAATATAGCATGGCTTTTATTGATATTAGTGGTCGCTGATTTTAATTTGCTGATTATGTGCATTTTTTGGGCCTCACCAGGTACTGAAGCTATGTTTGCAGACCTTGGTCATTTCACTGCCTTATCAATTAGGGTGAGTGTAACTCCTCCTTTTGTTCATATTTTTTTTCACTCCCCAAGTTTCATGATAGATTGTGGGTCGAAAAAGACTTTTATCCAGACCCATTTTGCCTTATACCCTTGCCATCTTAAGCCACATTAGGTGAACTTAAGAATGAACTTGTGTTTTGAATGATATATAAGTTAGACATTTGATAATATTCCTGGCTGTGCAGCTTGCATTTGCATTTGTAATATATCCGTGTTTGGTTGTACAATACATGGGTCAAGCTGCGTTCTTGTCAAGAAACCTATCAATTCGTAACAGTTTTTATGACTCAATTCCTGGTCAGTGCAATCTGATATCAACTGTTTTGCTTCTAAAAGTTGTTACAACATTTAAGTTTGTATAACTTTTTCTTTTATCCTTGCAGGTCCTGTATTTTGGCCTGTCTTTGTAATTGCCACCCTTGCAGCTATTGTTGGGAGTCAGGCTGTTATAACTGCCACTTTTTCTATAATCAAACAATGTCATGCGCTTGGATGCTTTCCTCGAGTCAAAATTGTTCACACCTCAAAACATATATATGGCCAAATCTACATCCCAGAAATAAACTGGATACTCATGATCCTTACTCTTTCCATAACTATTGGATTTCAAGATACAACTTTGATTGGAAATGCTTATGGTAATTCATTCTCTAATAAATGCTCCCTTTCTCCTCAAATGTTCTTGAGAAAAATATGATTTAATAATAATTACATTTTGTGCCTATAACAAGTCTTAAAGCCAATCTTTGTGAATGCCTTTCCTTGCTTATAGTCACAGCCACTGGCAATGGACTTTGTTATATGCTCTTTAGAGTTTAAACTTGGAATGATTAACTAGTGAACTTCTTGTGTTCTTCCTTTTCTGTTACATGGGTAAAGTTGATCAATTATGTATACTGAGGCTGCAAAGAATAACGTATAGAGGAAAATATGTGAAGAAAGAAGTAGCTGAAGGAGAAAACTTTCTAACTTAACAAATTTGTAGTATAATTATAATTTTTTAGCCTCTTATATCCAGCAGCCTTGAGACACTTGTCTAGTAATGTCTTCTGGTTTATATATACTGTGAGTACGGTTCTTGATCACATAGTTCAGATTCTGGAGATAATTTAACTACTTGCATCAACTTGCCTATCTCACTTGACTATCATGCTGATGTTTCATATTTGGTTATGGTTTTCAGGACTTGCATGCATGACGGTGATGTTCATTACAACATTTCTCATGGCACTTGTGATAACCTTTGTTTGGCAGAAAAGCGTTTTGCTTGCTGCAATGTTCCTTCTGTTCTTTTGGTTTGCTGAAGGGGTCTATTTATCAGCAGCACTCACGAAAGTGCCTCAAGGAGGATGGGTGCCTTTTGTGCTGTCTATCATCTTTATGATGGTTATGTACATTTGGCACTATGGGACTCGCAAGAAGTACAACTTTGACCTGCACAATAAAGTATCATTGAAATGGTTGCTTGGCTTGGGCCCTAGCCTTGGTATTGTCCGTGTGCCTGGAATAGGCCTCATATACTCCGAACTGGCAACAGGAGTCCCTGCAATCTTCTCCCACTTTGTCACAAATCTACCTGCATTCCATAAGGTGTTAGTTTTTGTTTGTGTGAAATCAGTTCCAGTTCCATATGTATCACCAGAAGAACGCTTTCTTATTGGTCGGATTTGCCCCAGGCCATATCGTATGTATAGGTGCATTGTCAGGTATGGCTACAAAGATATTCAACGGGATGATGGGGATTTTGAGAACCAGCTTATACAAAGCATAGCAGAGTTCATCCAGATGGAAGCTGGAGAACCACAATTTTGTAGTTCTGAGAGTTCCTCATATGATGGGAGGATGGCTGTTATAAGTACCAGAACCATCCAATCAAGCTCAAGTTTAATAGTTTCTGAGATAGAGGATTTCACTATTAGCAACAGCATCCAAAGCAGCAAATCCTTAGCCCTACAGAGCTTGCGATCTGCTTACGATGATGAGAATCCGGCAGTTAGGAGGCACCAGGTGAGATTTCAACTACCACCAAATCCTGGTATGGATCCTTTAGTTAGGGAAGAGCTGATGGATTTAATCGAGGCAAAGGAAGCTGGGGTTGCATATATAATGGGTCACTCATATGTCAAGGCCAGGAGATCTTCATCATTTTTGAAAAAACTTGTGATTGATATGGGGTATTCATTTCTCCGAAAGAACTGCAGGGGCCCTGCTGTGGCACTAAACATTCCTCACATCAGTCTCATCGAAGTTGGAATGATATACTATGTTTAGTCATTTGAGGAAGAATCTGTATGGCTAGATGTTGAGGTAGCTGTTGCTGTTGCCTTTGCATAGGAACATGAAGGCACATTGCAATCCGATTTGGATATAGTTTTTTCTTGAGGGAACTTTCATTTTAGGTACTCACCTTTTCCATGTATATAGATAAATAACATTATCAGTCATTATTATTATTATTATTCACCTGATAAGTTATGGTTTTCGGATGATGACTAGAGAATGTTTAATATTTCTTTGAGATCTGGACCTTTATGTATTTTATTTAGGAGCAACACAGTAGTAACATCAGCAAGTATGATAAAGAGTTGGACACGAATCCCTCCACGTTCATGAATTGCTAAACCTCCACTTGTGTGAACAGGCCATGATTCACATGATTATTCCCCGAGCTCAAGATGTAGTCTGACAATGGCACTATCGGACAAAAATAAAAACATTGGACATCAGGCGCTTTAACCTGTTGGTGATCTGGGGAAACATCAAGCATCAAGAGAAGCGCCTAGCAAGGTTTAGCCTAGATTGCTACGGCAGCTCGGTGGGGTTAGCCTAGGAATGGATCATTTTTGTTGCGAAATTAATCCACTAGCTAGAGGTTAATTTCAGGTACAAGTTGCTTTCAGAGGACTTTCATGTGAGAGTTAAGGGTGTCTAGTATTCACGTTTATGAACTTAACATCTTTTTTTAGTTATCTGATCTGAAATTCAGCCCCATTTACAGATGGATAGCCTAAAGTCTGGAGTACTAGACATAGCAATGGCGAACATTCACTATGGGCGCGTAGGTGTAGCCACCTAGTGCACATCTGGGCTCATGCCCTGCTATTTGCTATTGGCTGACGCTTCATCCGAGGACTGACGGTTTATATAAGGTTTGCTTACCATATATGGTGTGGTGCGCATTTCTTAAAGGTTCGCCACATACTCCACAAGCTCCATTTTTAGTAGTTTGAAGGTAGCTTCACCTGTCCAACGGCCACCGCCGCCCTCCTTCAAATGTCAGCCCTTGGTCCCCAAGCCCCAAACCATAATGATCAAGTCAAAATAAATAAATAAATAAATAAAAGGTTAAGAGCCAACTAGCATGGCAGGAGTTGGATCACCAACTCATAAGTCCTAAAGCCTTTACATACCGGATTAGCACTATCGTTCTATATAAGTACTAGTGTAGGCAAAATCGAATTGAAGGCAAACCAGGATGAAGATGAAGCTTTGGGCGTGCTTTGTAACTTTACTATTTGTGCTGGCAAGTTTGGTGCCGCAGGGATGGGGTCAGGGTCAGGGCCAGGGCCAAGGTGAGGACTCCTCCACCTCCTCATGCCTAAACCAGCTTGCTCCTTGCCTGAATTACCTTAATGGAACTCGAGATGTGCCTGATAGCTGTTGTGCTCCTCTGAAATCCGTGATCAAATCAAAACCAGAATGCTTGTGTAGCATGATAAGCAACGAGGGTAGCAGAGAAGCAGAGCAAGCAGGCATCAACATCAGCGAAGCACAACAGTTGCCTGGACGGTGTGGGCAGCATGTCAACCCACTAGCTTGCCTCTCAGGTAAAAAAGACTTAGATATGATTCGGAGCTTCTTACTCGTGTTGAACAACTATAAAATTTGTTTGTTGGGATGTTTCAGGTTCTCCAAATTCTAAGAACTCAGCTGAAGATTCCCCCGGCGTCCTGTTATTCCCACCACATAGCGCCATAGCCATAGTCATTGCCGTAGCCATATGCATGACTGTTGAGAATTTGTGGGTGTACCCGACGCCACATTAACATCCCTTTTGGGGGGCAATTCAAAAATGTTATGGAGATTCCAATCAGATATTGGAAATTGGGAGATGATTAAGCTAATTTGTTATAGTTTCTAGTATATATATTATGTTCTTTTCAGTGTGTGCTGATTAAATCAAGCTGATAATAACTCAAATACAACCCTGGCTTGGGTTTTATCTGTGAAAGGTGGCGACTAGTAATTAATAATGCAAATGATTTCTTGTTAATCTTCAAGTACCTTCTAAATTTACCAAGCTATTTAACTCCTCAAAATATGTTAAGAGTATGCCAGCAATTCTGGAATATCAATACCATTTTGTTTGTTTGGAAAGTGCTCTTCCAAAAATTTTTTTAATGTTTTCTCATATTTATTTATTATTTGATAAAATAGTCGAATCTTAAAATTTGATTAATGTTTTAAATTATTACTCCAAAGCATGCCTCAATATTCTAAACATTATCCGTTAAGTACCCATATTCATTAATTTTTTTATTAAAATAAATTTAAAATAATTTATATATATATTACTAATAAAATTTAAATTAATAAATTAAAATTAATTCATAAAAATAAATTAAAATTAAAAATCAAAATCATATTTAGAATCATTAATAAATTTTAATAAGTATTGAGTAATATAAAGAATTTATAAATAAAAAAAATACATATAATTAAAATTAAATAAGAATTACTTCAAAATTATTACTTGAATTCAATTATAAGATATCTTAATTTTATTTAATGGAGTTAGACAATGTACTGAATTTGATGACAAGATACTCATGGACATCTCCATTTAGAGAAAACAAATGTCCGATCAACAAAATTAGAGCCGTTGACACAGTAAAATTAGCAAATTAAATTAATGCAATCAAGCAAATTTTGCGAGTGGGCAATCCTGTTTAATATGTAACAAAGCCGTAACGGTGAAGGCATGGTTTAAAAGAAAAATACTATTATTGGTTCCCACAATCCAGGAAAGGAAAGGAACGGAAAAGAAAGGGAAGGAAAATCTATTATTATCTTTCAGCTGAGGAGAGTGAAGAGCCAACCGCCGACAAAGAGAAAGACTGAAAGAGGACAAATTTGGGTTTGTGAAAGAAGGCCAAGTGCGAAAGTAGAGAGAATATCTGTCCACAAACAAAAGAAACACTTGATAAATGATAATATTCCAAGTTTTTTTCTAAGACTGTAAAACCCTTCTTAAACCTCCCATTTCTTTATCCTCTCTGCTCGTGTACTTCTTCTTGTCCAAAAAATGCCCAATTTCTCTGCTTTTCTCTAGAAGTTTACTTCTTCTTCAACGATGGCCTCCCTTCTTCCGGTACCAGATATCTCCAGGCCTCTCGTACTCAAACTCAGCTCTTCTTCTCCTTCTCTCTGGACCCTTTTCACTGTCGACAGCTCTTTCCTCTACAAACACGTGCACAAACAGAGACGCAATAATCGGTCTTCATTTCCATTATTAACCACCCAGGCTGTCTACACTCAAGGGGGAGTCTCCATCTCCAGTCTCGACACCCACAAATTCGCTCTAAAAAGAGAAAAGGTGGAGCTGGAGACTGATGCCATCTCCATTCTCAACGAAAGAATACGCCGTGAGCACGGCAAGAGAGAGGCCACAAGGCCTGTAATGGACTCCCAGGAGGCTGACAAGTACATTCAGCTGGTGAAGGAGCAGCAGCAGAGGGGATTGCAGAAGCTCAAAGGCGATAGGGAAAGAAAGGAAGGGGGCGTTTTTAGCTACAAGGTTGATCCTTACACGCTGCGTTCTGGGGACTATGTTGTTCACAAGAAAGTGGGTGTTGGCAGATTCGTTGGGATTAAGTTCGATGTGCCTAAGGGTTCCACTGAGCCCATTGAGTACGCCTTTATCGAGTATGCTGATGGTATGGCTAAGCTTCCTGTTAAGCAGGCTGCTCGCATGCTCTATCGATATAATCTGTACGTTTTTGTGCCACTTTTTTCTTCTTTTGGATTAATTCTACTTTTATAGCTACTCCTGTCCCGTGGTAGAATGTTGCAGTTGACATCTGAAAACAAATTTCAATCCTGTGTTTTGAGGCTTGTTTTGGTTGTATTTCCAGCCCAAATGAATCAAGAAAGCCTAGGACTTTGAGCAAGTTGAGCGACACTAGTGTATGGGAGAGGAGAAAGGTCAAAGGGAAGGTTGCGATTCAAAAGATGGTTGTAGATTTAATGGAGCTCTATTTACATAGGCTGAAACAAAGAAGACCTCCTTACCCAAAGAGTCCTGCCATGGCTGAATTTGCAGCTCAGTTTCCTTATAAACCCACACCAGATCAAAAGCAGGTACCTTGCAAAATTTCTACTCTTTTTTGTCTTACTCAGCTGCATCTTTAGTAGTTAAAGTGCCGTTATGAGGAAATCAAATAATAATCTCGCTTATTCTTTAATTGCTTTGGATTGTTTTGAAAAGGGTCAGTGCCTCACATTTCCAAAAAAAAATTACTACTTTTTCAGCAGTCACTATAAGGTTCAGATATTCCCTTTGATGAGTAGGATGTCTTTTTCCTGCTAACAAAAGTGAGTCCCTTGTTACAGGCTTTTATTGATGTAGAGAAGGACTTAACAGGGAGAGAAACTCCAATGGATCGATTAATATGTGGAGATGTTGGGTTTGGAAAAACGGAAGTTGCATTACGCGCCATCTTTTGTGTGGTATCAGCAGGGAAGCAGGCTATGGTATTGGCACCCACAATTGTTTTAGCCAAGCAACATTTTGATGTCATTTCAGAGAGGTTCTCCAAGTATCCTAGTATCAAGGTTGGACTTCTTAGTCGGTTTCAGGTACAAGAAGTTTATTCACTGGATTGACCTCATTCTCTGACTAAGAATGGTATCATATGTTTAAAATCTTACTTAAACTTGAGGAAAAGTGCTGGACTGGCGATGAAAAATTCAAGTTGACATGCTTTCTACTCCAGAACATTTTAAAAGTCCCCTCTTAAGCATATGGTTGGTTTCCATCTTGCCAAATAAACAGATAATAGCAACAGACTGTGTTATGATATTGTGTTGATACAGTTTATCTGAAAGTGTAAAGACGTGTGCAGGTGTATTGTCACTTCTGCTATAATTGGAAAAAATATGCTGGACTGGAATATTTTATAACTGAGATTGTTTGATATTGACAAGACCTATTACGACATGCAGACTAAAGCAGAGAAAGAGGAGCATTTGAAGATGATAAAAAAGGGTGAACTGGCCATTATTGTAGGAACTCACTCACTTCTTGGAAGCCGTGTTGTGTATAATAATCTAGGCCTTCTTGTAGTTGATGAGGAACAGGTTTGCCTCCAATCCTTGTTGATATCATTTTTAACAAGTCCTTGACTGCATAGACAAAAGATTTACCAAAGGATTTCCAGCATTTAGCTTTTGTTATACTTCAATTCTTGTAGGATTTAGATTTCTTTATGTAAATGGACCAGAGTACGTGATTATGGTTTGACCTCCTTTATAATCTTTGAGTCAATAAAACATAATGAAAAAATATTATTTTCTGTTGGAATTAGTGTCATTATCATTTCATGTTTGTATATATGAAGGGGTTCAGGGAACCACCATGTGTTTAGATCTGTACTGGCCTGAATTCCTTGCAATAATCTCAAGTCATTTAGCTCATACGTGTCATGCCTGCCTTGCAGAGAGATGGTTGATTTGCTTGTTTGTATGTTTCTTTGCCACACAGAGGTTTGGTGTCAAGCAAAAGGAGAAGATTGCTTCCTTTAAAACTTCAGTTGACGTTCTTACTCTCTCTGCAACACCTATACCCAGAACACTCTATTTAGCATTGACCGGTTTCCGTGATGCCAGGTAATACATTATGTCAAAAATTTGAATTTCAAGCATCTTCAGTACTGGATTCGATCCTGGATTCAGATGTCCATTTTGCTTTGTTTATTATAATGCCTTTGTGAAAAAGGTACAATATTAACTGTGCCATTGATGTATGTAAGCCTCAGATGATACATTTTAGCTGAAAAAAAGACTAATACATTTTGTACACAATGTAGATCTTATCAGTGCCAAGTCTTCCCTTGCACATTTTTGTTTAAACATGAATCAGTGGATTTGGCAGAATCTATTAGGACATGGGAACTTTGTCATTATTGTAGAACAATATAGACTAATGGACTAGTTTGCACTTACTTTATTACATTTTGGAATCAGATCATCTGTAGCCATACTTTTATAAAGTTGTTGAGTACAATTCACCTCATGGATTGGGGATGAATATTGTTTAAATAGGTTTCATGAAGCTGGGCCAGGCGGTATGTCTAATTAAAGATTGACTTGCTTATTAGAATCATATCTTGTTCTTGAAGAACATATTCAGAAGCTATTTAGTTTGTATTTCATTCTGAGCCTTGAATAAATTACCTGCAAGCAATGAAACAAGCTTTTAATAGCATTGGGACCTTTCCTGACACTTTCAATCTAGGTTAATTGTCTTATAACATCATGGTGCTATACATTTCTCTCCTTCTTCCCTTCAGTTTAATTTCAACACCACCTCCAGAAAGGGTTCCTATCAAAACTCATCTTTCAGCATTTGGTAAAGAAAAGGTCATTGCGGCAATTCAGTATGAGCTGGACCGTGGTGGCCAAGTATTTTATGTCTTACCTCGTATTAAAGGTAATGCCTTAATCCACATTTTCCTATTTGTAGCACTTGTGACTTTTCTTGCTGTCATGTCATTCTCTGGATGGTTGTGTAATTGTGTAGTAGTATTTGTTTGCGGCAAATTTTTTATTTCTGGTTTGCTGCTCTTGTAAGATGTTAATATTGATAATCATATCTATCTATGGTCTCTGCATTCATGAAAATAATTATTGTCTAATGAATTTGAATCACAGAGCTGATTTGTCCGTTTGATGAATTTGAAAGTCCTAGTTACATGCAAAAAAAGAGGAAAAAGTAAAAATAAGAAAAGGTCTCAAAGACTAACAGCTAATAGCAACTAAGGTGCTTTGTGCAGATCTTCCCTGGTATATATATGTTGTTGCTTTATGTTTCAGTAATCAGTTTATGTGTATAGATTTCATCCTTTCTTATGTAACAGGCTTGGAAATAGTGATGGATTTTCTTGAACAATCATTTCCAGATGTTGATATAGCTATTGCTCATGGGAAGGTATTTCCAGTTTTTAATATTTGAATTATGTTTTAGTTTCAGCAAGCTACTGAAATCTGAACTTACAAGCCACAAGACAATAATTTGAGTGTTACCAGTGTTGTTTTTTGAAAACTAAATTGTTTATAATATATGTGATAGTGTCTGAATTTGAGGAGTTTATGCTTTCTTTTCAGAATCTTAAATTTATACTATTTTACCCAAGTTAAATCTATTCTTTTTATCAATTGATATTATTTTGGTTCTTCATACCTCATATATGTCCCTTTTGCAGCAATATTCCAAGCAGCTTGAGGAAACCATGGAGAAATTTGCCCAGGGTGATATTAAGATTCTTATCTGCACAAATATCGTTGAAAGTGGGCTTGACATTCAAAATGCAAACACTATCATCATTCAGGATGTTCAACAATTTGGCCTGGCACAGTTATATCAGGTCTAGCACTTTCTTCTTTTCGTATCTCACATGTGCTTATGAATTGTAAAAGATGTAGTATACATTGAAGAGCACTATGGAAGTTTTTATCTAGAAAATTATGTAAAGGGCAAATACACCAATATCATGGTAGATTATAGAACTTTTCCATTTTCTGTTTTATCTGGAACAATGGTTCATAATTAATGGTCCTTCTATGCAGTACATGTGACTCTGTATGTGTATTCATGTGACCTTTTATCTTTAACCATGAAAGAATTTTCTGTATTGTTCTTGAAGGATATATGCACATTATTTTACTTGCTACAGTATTATTCATTCACAGAACAGAGGAAATGAAATCATATCTGTTTTTTTTTTCCCATCTTCTCTTTCCGCTGTTAATGTTGTTATCATTCTTTCAATTTCAATAGTTGCGGGGAAGGGTTGGGCGGGCTGATAAAGAAGCTTATGCATACTTATTTTACCCTGATAAGTCCTTGCTATCTGACCAAGCATTGGTATGTATTCTGTGTCTGCCTTCACTTTTATTGTCAAATACGCTGAAATACAATTATAGAAATGACATGGCATTATCATGGTTGTGCTTCAGGAGAGGCTTGCAGCTCTTGAAGAATGCCGTGAACTTGGCCAAGGTTTTCAACTTGCAGAGAGAGACATGGGTATCAGAGGCTTTGGTACCATCTTTGGTGAGCAACAGACAGGGGATGTTGGAAATGTTGGCATTGATCTTTTCTTTGAAATGCTTTTTGAGAGTTTGTCCAAGGTATGTTCTGGAGCCACTTCTTTTGAATGTTTGATTAAATGAATTAAACTGTTTGCGAAATATAGGTGTCGACCGGATGCCTTCTCTTTTTTCCAGTCTAACTTCTGCTATGTTCATCCGACTAGTTAAAATTAGAAGATGTGATAAAATTTCAAGGCTTTTCACTATCAGTAAGAAGGAAATTACTGGGCTGATAGTTTATATGCATTATTTTTAAGCTTTCCAGGTTTCTAGCTACTGGTCTCAGATTTTTGTGCTTGCAGTTTCTGACTTTCACTCATTATAACTCCCCCTTTCCAGGTTGAAGAACATCGTGTAGTTTCAGTTCCTTACCAGTCAGTGCAGGTATTTCACTTCTTTTGAAATTTGTATAATCAGAGAATAAAATATGTGCCTGCTCTTAACATCAATCACTATCTATAAAGGAAATGAGATCATTTATACCAAAAAAAAAAAACTGTAAATGAGATCATACATTATGCTTTAGTAGGGTTCTGCTTTTGTTGTGATCGTATGGAAAACATGGAGAAGCTTGAAACCTCATTAGGATTTCATCAAGCGCATAAATTGGGCATAATGTTATTTTATGTTGTCAAGGATTGCAAACAAACATGCTTAATTGAGACTGAATGACTGAATGTACATTTTTCTCACCCATTTATCTGAGAATAGAGACAACTGCTGTATTCAAGGCTATCTCTTTAAGAGAGAGGCTAAGAGTTTGAATGCTAAATTCTCGACTAGTGTTGGAAATCAACAATGGCTTGGAAACATGGGGTTTGGTTCCTACTGCAGTTTTAAGAAAGGACAAATGGTACATAAGAATTAATCTTTTTTGGAAGCATTAGGTAAATATGTGCCTATTTTGCCGCGTTCTTAAGTGTATCCATTTAATTTTGTTTCTTTGACTTGTTTTTCACCTTGTGACATAATCATTTCATTTGATAGCTGATTTTGTTCCTCCTTGTAGTTCCTTTCATAAGTAAACCTGACTATAGTTTTAAGGAGTATGCTTACAGACCACACCATATTTGATTTTGGTTGGTGGACAAGAGAATCCAATCTGGAGTAAACTTGAATTGTACCAATGTATGACAGTAATATATGAATTCTGACTTTGTTTTTTGTGATTTTGTAATTGCTAGATTGATATAAGCATAAACCCTCGTCTCCCTTCTGAGTACATATATTATCTAGAGAACCCCATGGAAATCATTAATGAAGCTGAGAAAGCAGCTGAGAAAGATATCTGGAGTTTGGTGCAATTTACAGAGAATCTTCGACGGCAACATGGAAAAGAGCCTTATTCCATGGAAATTCTTTTGAAGAAGCTTTATGTACGGCGCATGGCCGCAGATCTTGGGATCAGCAGAATATATGCTTCAGGAAAGATGGTTGGCATGGAAACCAATATTAGTAAGAGGGTTTTCAAGCTGATGACAGATTCCATGACATCTGATGCGCACCGTAACTCTTTGCTTTTTGAGGAAGACCAAATAAAGGTAATTATATAATATTTCTTTTGGTGTTTGTGGCTGTGATTAGCAGTTCAAATGTTGACTGGTTTACCTCTCTCGAGCACACTATGCTTGTCGAGAGAGTGATAATACCTAACATCCTTGGCTCAATTAAGTTCTTTAATATGTTGGGAAATAAAAAGTTTTGAACCTAAACATGTAGCATCATCGATTGTGGACTAGCAAAACCATGCGGGAACTTTTATCTGGAAATCCTCTTTTGAAGTTAAATATATCTTTATGCTCTTTTTCTTTATCTTTGTTGTGTGTTTTGCAGGCAGAACTTCTTTTGGAGCTGCCACGAGAGCAACTGCTCAATTGGATCTTTCAATGCTTGGCAGAACTTCATGCTTCACTTCCTGCTCTTATTAAATATTAGATATCTTTGTTGAGCATAGTATGTTCGACTCTCTGTTAGTTGCTTCCCTTGCCATTAAGGTCAAGATTGCATAGTTTCACCAAAGCAATCTATGAATTTATGAGAAGGAAAGCCCATAATCTGTTGCGCTCCAATGCGTTTTGGCCCATTGCATAAATCATAAGAGGATGCAAGACAAGAAAAGAAACCAGTGGCCATTCATAGATACTTAGGTTATGGTATTCAACGTGGTAGAATCTGATACTGTTTTGAGGTAAGAAAATGAAAAGTTTCGCAGTTTGTCATCCTAATTATATTAATTAACTGCCTCTGATTGACTCTCCCTTTGCAGGTTGTGCAAGGTTGCAAGAGTAAGCAAGCCAATTTCCTTCTGCTTCTGCTTTAACGGATGCCTTTTTTCTGATGATGGTGCGATTTGGTCACGTGGGTCTCTTACCGTAAGCATATCATCTCAAGGATGTACACATACTGAAGTTGAAAAAGAGCATAGGGAGGTTCATGCTGCTCATAACAATTACATAGAAGCTGTAAGTGTTTAATTGTCATTAGTAGGTTAGGTTGAGGCACTGTATAGAATGGTCTCAACATATATTATTGAAAGAGGCAGGAAGAGTGTATACTTTTGTGCAGTGATTGCACGCATTCTTTTGAAGATAAACATTCACAAATGTAATTTTACGCAGGAAATCCAGAAAAAGGAAAACAAAGAAAAAGAAAAAGAATGAAACAGGGGCAGTGATTATAGCCGCCAATAACATTATTCTTTGTTTGCAGCTTTCTGCAGATATCTTAATGGGCTTTTTTTCTCTTGTATTTTCTAGTTGAATTGGTTTTAACCAAGAGCAAGAAAAAGAAAAGGAAAGTAGTTAAGGCATGGAATGTTCACAAATTAAAAAGGCTAATCCTCAATGTAGGCAATTGGCAATCAGGCATGAGTGTGAAGCAGAGCCATTGACTGGTTGGTGCCACCGCCACTGAACTTGATAGGTAGTTTGTACTTGGTATTGCCTGAGAAGGTTGGAAGACTCGGTTAAATTGATCAATTAGGTAAAAAAAAAAATACTATTAATCGACTTAATTGATTTTATTAAATATTTCAATCGAAGTGATCAAATTTGTGTGAATTAATGGAATTAATATAGAGTAGAGGGTCTGCTTGAGGGTTGGTTGGACAACCGGCCAAAGGGTCTTTTAGCAGCGAAGCACTGAGAACGTGCCAACGCGTGGTTGGCCCTTTACTTACCATAAAAAACACCGTATGCTACAGAAACAGAGGACGGTCTGAAAAGCTAAAACTGAAACAGAAACTGTATCACCCTGATTCTGTTGGGTATCGAATTTGCATCCGCATGGCATTGGGCATTAGGCATTAGGCATTAGGCATTGGGTTACTTCGGAAACTGTCTGGTTTTCAGCTCTTCATTAGTTAGAGAAAAGAGTGGATATTTTTTAGTCTCTGTTTTGTTACCTCTGGGAAGTGGAATTCCAAAGGAAAGGCCAAACATGAGCTTTCAAGACGTTTCAAGTGGCGGTCGACACTCCTCATCTTCATCATCCATGGCGTCCAAGAGCCCCTCACAAGCGGTGGCAGCCGGTATCTTCCAGATCAGCACTGCCGTCGCTGCTTTCCGTCGCCTCGTGGATGCCATCGGCACCGCCAAGGACACTCCTGATCACCGCCAAAAACTGTCTCTTACTTTTTCTCATCTTTTCATATATACTGACAGTAACAGATTAAAGATGCATCCTTCTTCTTTTCCAGCAAAATGAATTCTCACAACGTTGCAAATGGAAAAACTGATTGACAGGCACAATACCAGGCAAAGGATTCTGCAACTAGTGAAGGAAACTTCCGCTAAGCTCAAGGCTTTGAGTGAATCCGATCATGACCCTTCTGTCAATGTATCTTTCCTTTCTCACTAAACTTGTTTCTTTTCCCAAGTAAAGTACCCTTTTACAAGTTCAATTCATTTCAGATTTTAGTTTGAGTAAAGAGTAAAGACTCATAAAAAAAATAAAAAAATAAAAAATTTCACTTCCAGCCAAGTAAGAAGATTGAAGATGCAAAGCTGGCTAGAGACTTTCAGACCACACTGCAAGAATTTCAGAAAGTTCAGCAGCTGGCCTCTGAACGCGAGTCTACATATTCTCCTGCTGCTCCTCCACCCTCCTTGCCTACAAGGTATCACTCTTTCCCATTTGGCACCGTTTTGTTCCTTTTGTGTGTGTGTGTGTGGCCTTTCATATGTAGGATGTTTTCTTCTTTGGATGCAGCTCTGGCTCTGATGATTCTTGGGCACCTACTCTGCCTCAAGAGAAAAAACCTTTTCTTATGGAACAGAGGAGGTGAGTTCATCCTTTCCCCTCTGTCACTTTTCTTCTACATCACCTGTCATGGATAGAATAGCTTCAGTTGCATTCCTGAATGCACTTGATATAACCATAAGATATCAATTTGGCTCTCTCTTTTGTTAATAATCCACTCTTCTTGAACATTTTTGACTTCTATATACTTGCCTGTCTTTTGGGTGAAAGAGGTTTGTTAGAATTTCACCAATTTTTTCAACTGAATTTTCCCATCATTTGTTGTTCCCGTTGTGAAGCGTTGCAAAGGCATTTTTTTCATATGATCCAGTTGCCTCTTTGAAAATGTGCAGACAGGAGGTAATTTTGCTGGATAATGAAATTGCCTTCAATGAAGCCATGATTGAGGAAAGGGAACAAGGTATCAGAGAAGTAGAGGAGCAAATAGGACAAGTAAATGAAATATTCAAGGACCTTGCTGTTCTTATCCATGAGCAGGGTGTGGTCATTGGTAAGATGCCAAGTACCCTTGAGATAGATTAAATTCACATATGCATCTTGATTTACATGTCAAAATATAGCTACCTGCTTACTATTTTTTTATTTAATTATCTGATAATTTGTTTCATCACAATAGATGACATTTCATCAAACATTGATTCTTCCTCTGCTGCAACAACCCAGGCTAGAGTTCAACTAGCGAAGGCTTCCAAAAGTGTGAAATCCCAAACCTCATGGGTATGCGGTAAACTGTTGACTTCTAGAATATATTGGACATGAAATGTGATATTCATAGATTAAAATTTGCTGAGGAAATGCAATGTGCAAAGTTTGTTTCATCTTTCAGATCCATTCTCTGTATGCTTGCTTTGATGATAGAATATGAATTGCAAATAAACTGGAATTACTAGTAAAGGGGAAGAGGATAAATAGCACAGGTACTACTATCATATGAAGAAGTGCATAGCGTGTCTGTGGTAAACAAATTACGTATGTTGAAGAGTTCAAATTATGCATGTAAGAGTCTGGTTAATAGTCATGAGATAAGACATTCAGATAGAAGAGGAAGGCAGAAAGCATAATTGAGAAATTGAAGGACAAAATGCAAAAGACCAATTTCAGATTCATTTTCCTCAATGGTCTAGTATAGTTGAGAAAACAGTTAACCTAATGTGATTCCATATGTTTGGATGGATGTGATAGGATCCTAGGTTTGAAGTGCAGCTGGTCTATGTATCCACAAATGAATGAGCTTGAATTTAAGGAAAATAGTGCTGACTAGTTCATGTAGAAAAACCCTGCTGTTGTTTAACATGCAATAGCAGATAAACCCATAGCTTTCTTTTTTTTGCTACAGATGAACCCATAGCTTTATTCCCTGGTATGCAAAGTTCTTTCTAGAACTCTATATTTGCTTGCACCTATAGGTAGTGGACTGGCATATTCGTCCTAATGAAAGCCTCCCAAGACAAATGAGTGTCAAAAGTTTTATTCTGGAGGTGGCACATTGGTGAAAACTCCCATGCACAATGCCCTATAGCAAGGAATCATATACTCCTTTCTAGATAAAGCTCTCAAAGAAGCAAAAATGCGGGTTTTAAATAGCATTATGGGATGTTTTAAATCTGTTTGAAATATTTATATCATGAATATCATATATTATCACCATCATGTTTTGCAAGTGTTATATGATCTGGTGACACCATTTCCCTCCTTGTTTCCCTAGCTTTTGTAACTCATCTTGATGTCTTCTTTCTTATTGTGGCTTGGCAGTGTTGGTGGGTGCTGGTAGTTTTTGTGTTGGTGCTGGTAATCTTTCTTCTGGTTCTTATCATTTAGGGTCCAACTGCTTTACAAAGTAACGGCGTGCAATACAGGACGTATTTATTCTGTTTTCTCTTGGTTGATGTAAATTTCAGGGTCCATTTTTTCTTTCTTCTGTTTGGTTCAGTTTTGTGCTCAAGTTGAGCGATTGAGATTAATATTTGTGGTTTTGATTGCTATCTGAAATGTTGAGGACTATGATAAGAATACATGGAAGCAAACTCTGATTCAAAAGTTTTCTTGATACATCCACCCATGAGGAATTACCAAAACATATAACAGCTTCACACATTACAGAATAAAAGATTAGTTAATCAAATACTTAATAGATAGGAAATGGGGGTTGGTTTGAAAATAAATGTTTGAATATTATTGTCCTCAGACTTAAAACAAATTAAAGTAACAAACCAAAGGTTCTGCCCCATGTTCACCGGTAAGGAAGACAACCTAGCTGGCAGGCTAACTGTTGTAGTGAAACAGGGCAACAGGGCATACCCAATGAAAAGCGTAATGAGCTTGCAAAAAAAAATCCAAGTAGCTTGCCTCTTTCCTATGTAGGATCTCCATCCTCTCTTTCTGTAACTTGAGCAATCTGTCTTAACGAGTTGGCTTTGAGTCAGCAGGATTGGAACTCTACAGGTTATGTTTTGATCAAAACTTGTGATGGAATTGCCTTCGACAGATGTTAACAAAGAATTTGAACATGGTGTGGATACCAGAAGTTAAAAAAGAATCACTTTTGACGGATGTTCGAATTCCAAAACAGTGGGCATCTTACTTGCGGAGAAACAAGCCCAATTCAGAAAAACTGGGCGGAATATGATATAAAACAGAAGAAAATCAAGCCCAATTGCCATCTGCGGGCTTCAGTTGTATAAACAAAGTGGAAAAGTAAACATGGGAGAAAAGAGAAGTGCTACTACTGTGGTCAACCTCAGAAAATCAACAAACCCACTACTCCCGACTTCCCGACCCCCTTTTGCCCTTTGGCTTGATTTCGTTTCTTGCGGTGCAGAGAGGAGAAGAAGCGTCTCCTTTTGATTGTTGCGTACTGGCGGGGCGAGTGTACGCAGAGAAGAGAAGAGGAGAGGAGAGAAATGGCAGGCTTGATGTACCAGCTATTCGCGTCATCCACGCTTCTCACTCTGGGTCTCTACCACCTCATCTGCACCACCCGTAACTTCCTCAAATCCCAACAGTTCTACTCCGCCAAGCCTTTCCACCCTTTTCCTTTCTCTTCCAATCTCCGCCTTAAATACCTTCCTCTCTACCTTCTCATTGTCTGCCTTTTCATTGCCTTTCTGCATCAATCCTTCATCTCCTTCGACCCTGACCCTCTCCTCAAGGGCCGCACACCTGTCCACCGCTTCACCACCCTTCACTCCGCCGCAGTTTTGTTCCTCTTCTTCATCCTTTCCGTTTCCATTCTCATCTCGGAATCCACTTCCCTCCTTCCTCTCCCATCGGATCTCTTCTTCGCGTTAGCCTCCGCTCTCTTCTTCCTCCAGTACTCTGTCTCCACTGCCGCTGCATCCGTCCAGACATCTGATCTCCAAGCCAAATGCGATTCCTTGTCGGCCCGCGTCTCCTCTCTGGCTTCCTTGATGTGTCTGATTCTGGCTTGCCACCCAAAGCTCTTTATAGCGGAGGTGGGTTTGGGGGCGGCGCTGTGCTTGCAGGGGCTGTGGGAGCTGCAGACAGGGCTTTCCCTATATGTAGAGGCGTTTATACCGGAAGGGTGCCATAAGCTGCTGGATGTTGTGAGCGGAGTGGAGGGGTCCACCAAGTGCGACCTTGACGAGTCCAGGCTGAGGGCTGTGGCCATTCTGGATCTGGTGTTCGTGGTTCATGCCATGTTTGTGGTCATCATTGTGATGCTCACTTACGCTCTTGTTGCTAAGACAGTTGGGATGAGGAGACTCGGCTCCTACGAGGCCTTACCTACCAATGCTGCTGATTCTAATCATATTCAGATGAAGGCGTTGACTGGCACCCAAGCCTGATCCTTTTTCTTTTCTCTTCCTCTGCGCTCTACCCCCTTTTCTTTTTCTGAATCTTTTTTTCATTTTTACTCTCTTACTTGGATTCTTGTTGTTGTGACATTCATTTTGAGGATTAGCGAGGATATCAAAGTTTTTATCTTTTTTGGACACTATGTAACTTACTACTACTTAATGAATTCTGTGTATACAAGCTGTTTCCCTTATTTGTCTACTTTATGAGCTTGATGGCAGATTATCTTCACTTTATTACTGGGTCTCTCTGTTGTTAAATTCTCCATTTAGTTGTGGTGGTATGGCAGATGCAGAAGCTCTATATCTGTTGGGCGGTGGTCATTGGGTCCAAAATGTTGAGTTGACTACTGTTTATAAGAAAGGTTTATTGGTTGAATGGAAATTTAATCAGTCTAATTTGTCTGGTTGCATAAAGAGCTAAAAGGAAATTACTGAATGTAGGAAATATTTTCACTTTTTTCATGGTTTTGCATTCATTTTGTATTTTCTGATTTTCATTGAAGTGATAGAGCAACATTTGTGAGATTACAGAGTGAAAAATGGCATTTCTGGGTTAACAAGTGCGTAAAATGAATGGACCTTATGATTTGTTCAGAAGTAAAGTTCTTTTACTGCTTCATCATCTGGTTTTCTCCCTCTTTTTAGGATTGAGAGCCTGGTGTTGCTTTCCTGAAACAGTGGCAATAACGGCTGAAAGTGATTTTCTCTTCTTATGAGGACCATTTTGTGATTCATTATGTTAAACTCTTTGGGCTTCCTAGAATGTGGTAAGTGAAAAGTTGGATCTTTTGTGAGGTCGCCTATGCTTTAAACCTAACACCTGAAGAAAGGCTGAGTTTTAATGGGAAAAGGAAAATAAATTGCGGTGATGTATAGGTGGTGATGACAAGGGTCAATCTAGTATGAGATCTATGCAGATATAGAACAGGAAATAATTTGTTATTCTACATGAGATTTGGCAAATAGAGTTTGTGCCTGCTTAGAGAGTGCAGGGTTAGAAGAATTCTAGGACTGTTGGTCGATATATCCAAAGTTGGGTATCATCTGTGGAAAAAGGTTTTGAATTGGTGAAATGCATTTGGTTGGATGAAGAGTTTTAAGAATGGCTCAGCACATCAAATTTTAGCTTGGTTAGATTTGTAATTGTTCTGTATTGTTCTATCACATGTTCTCAGTGTTTTTGCAGTTATGGTTGTGAATCTCACCAGGTGTATGTTTTTTCTTTTGCATTTTTTCCTCAATTTGATTGAAATTATAATCACTGTTATGAATTTCAAACATGTAACAGCAGATTAGTGATTATCTGTCTTTATATGGAGGTAATTCTCTTATCCGTGTTTATTCAAATCTTTAGAGATTTGGGACTGGTGACTTGGATAAATTACAGTACGTAAGCTATACCACTCTTAAGTACTGACATTGTTAACTTTGTTTTAGTTCAAGTAGTATCTATCAGAAACTATTTCCTCTTGTCTGTTACTCATAGCTGTTTTTGCAGTATCAATCCATGATCATTTGAGTGCATAAGACCTTGCGGTGCTAAAATACTCCTGCAACATCAAAAGTGCTTTGAAGTTTTTGGAAATAAAGACTGGAGATTTTTTTTTTCCTGAAATTTCTGAGCAGGTACCACAGTGATATTGTTTAATTCTTAGATGTCAAACATTGCTTATAGTTTGTTAATTGCCCAGTTTAATCCTTGATTAAATAGGGGTTTTTCCTGGAATTTTGCATGTTTACTATATCCAGCTTAAGGAGCCTTCCTAGATATGCATTTTAAGCAAGGCTTGTGGATTCGTGAAGATTGCAGCAGTAACTCTCTTCCTATCGACTATGGTGTATCAATGTCTGTCCCTGTTCCTCCAAATCAATTTTAATTCTTTGTTTCCCTTTGCTGTGACAAATTAATTTCACTGTTCTGCTGCAAGTTAATTGTTGGTAGAGATGAAGTAGCAATTCATGATTCTTGGTAGTGTAATCAGTTTCCAACAGTTCTGTTTCGGGGCATTCGACTTTTAAACTGATTTTATCATTTCTTGTTGATTTTATCGTCATGCATGTCCAGAAAACGGATCTTTGAATGCTTTTCTGTGATTAGATTAAATGTGGAGAGCGGTGGGTTCTCTGGTTTTTTCCATCTAATGATGCAGGATGAACAACGAAATGAAAGTGATGTTGGCGTAAGATTACAATGCTCATTGGCACATCCATCTGATTACAGCAATTGCTATGTTATCAACCTGAGATGGGAGGCTTTTCGCTCCACACCTGTAAAGGAAAGGAATGAAAAAATATACGAAGAGGAGGATCTTTCTTTGGTTTGATGTGCTTCCTTGGGGGAGAATACAATAACAATCTAAATCATAACAAGAAAGCTCCTTTTCAAGATAAGAAGATGATATCAAGGAGTGAGGCATGCCTATGATCATTTCTTTCAAGCAACACATCTTCTGTTGAACCGGGGAAAAGAAGAAAAAATAAAAAACACGACTTGGATTTTGTGGGTGCTATGGAAACTATAAGGTGGGATATTTGGCATCAAGCAATGAAAATTTTCCTCAAGTTTTCACTAGTTTGTCGTGAAATATTGTGGAATTCACCTGGAAATTTCCAGAGAGGTAAATTGCCATGGCTTTTGGATTTATTTGAATCTTGCTTGCACCTATATAAACGCTCCAAGGGCATCAACAGTCCTTCCCTCCTCTTCTGCTGCAACATCTCTTCTCCCCTGAGTCCCAACCATGGGAATTGAGAGGCAGAAATGAGTCGGTGGAAGGGCTAAACATTGCTCCTAACGAGTTGTTTTGGGAACCCGATTTCTTCCTTACTCTCTCCCTCGATATGCTTTTCTTTCTCGTCAGTTGTACGAGAGGTCACATAGAAAATATAGGAAAGGCTATGGCGAGAGACTTTGGATGAAGTTTGGTTCCCTTCTCCATTTTCATACTATTAACTATTAGGCTGGCTCACTTTCTCTTCTGTAGTAGACTAGCATCAAGAACTTTAGGTGACCCTGAATTCCATGCCCGACTGTGCTGTTTTTGAATTACTTTACTGTATAGTGATGCTGTCCTTTGAACCTAATCCCTTATCTGTCTATGGGCTAAGAAGTTAGGGGTCCATGCGCCTTGCTTCACGTCTCAGCCCATGGCAAGAAAAAAAGGGGCGGCTTTCTTTTGCATCTGACTTGATTACTTTATTTTTATCCGCAGGTTCATAGTCCCTGTGGCACAAAAAAAAGCCATCATTTGTCATTTTGCCATTTTGCCAGCTACCCAGCTAAGCAGACAGGACATGTAAAAGAATAAAAAAACAAGGACTAGAATCTTGGTGACAAGTTTTGTCAAATTTTGGACGGTAGCAAATCAAAGAGAATCAGTGGCTGTTCTCAGTTTTGCTTTCCCATATGTGCAGAACCTGAAATTTATGATCATGATTTGTGCAAGCAGTTTATGTTCATGTAAATCTATCAAGGCAGATCTTACTGAAGCTATTGCATAATTTGCCTCAATGATGGCCTCTCTGAATAACATGGCAATGCCAGATTTGATGTTGTCTAAATAAATGACTTTTGACATCAAACTTTCAAGACAATAAAGAATAATCCTAATTCCTATCTCAACACTCATTCTCAATCTTTGTCATAATTAAAAATACAATATTATGATTGATACAATCATAAAAGACTCAGCAATTCTTCACATGTTTTCTTTGTGGAAATTCTTGAGGTTTGACGATGACAGTATGCATGAGAAAAACTGCTCCAAATCCACCTCTGGTTACCAGCGAAACCTTCTGCCGCAATTCTGTGAAATCCTCACTTCTACATTGAATGATTATGGTCTGATAGGTCAATAATTTATGCCCATTATAACCTCCGCAAAACGGTTAAGATTGAGCACCAAATCAGCTGCATAATTTCTTGTGTTGGCCAAATGATTGCATTATTTGTTTGGCCAGATGTGAGAGGGAAGGCAGGTTGTAAGCACAAGTTCAAATTGCTTTTATCCCAGTATGAACACATTAGCCCTTGAGCCACTGCCTGAAGTAAGACTGCATCCTGTCTCGGTTAGTAGCATTCCCCACATTAACGGTAGGGATTATCTTGTCGGGCCTCAAAAACTGTGAATGACAGACCACATCATTCAAGGAGAGATTTAGCATGATTTACACAAATCAGCAATATTTTTGTTTCGAGAACCAAACCTGAACAAATTCTTGCAGTTCAGTGAAACTAGAGTGCTCACTATATGGGACCCCTGCAGAAACAGTGAAGCATTTGTAATTGCCCTCATTGAAATAGTCAGCTCAATGTACCTTCGAATAGAAGGAAGCAGGGACCAAAGCTCAATATCTCAAATAATTCAATTACCATATCCTCATAGTTCATTGCAACAAGGACTACAAATGTAACTCATCATGCATTCAGGAAAGAAAAGGTTTGGAAATTATCTCACCATATATAGTGACATTGCCTCTAGAAATCGGTCTTATCAAATCAAGTTGGTTGCCTATGTTCTCTGAGTAAGTCCAACCTGTAAAATAAATAGAAATATTTTTAGAACTTTCTAACATCTGCACTCAAATGGCAAAAGAGCATTTGATTCACCTGTTGGTCGAAATGCCAAAACTGCCGCATAATTCTTCCTGTAGGTCTTCAAGTAATCCTTTAGGGTCTTCAATGAAATTGAAAGGAAATACATGATAAGGAAGCAAAACAAAGATGGAAAAATATATCGAAATAGGAAGATGGCTATATAGAATCTGACCTCAAATCTTAGTGATGATATGGGCAGTACATGTAGAAGTGTATCCTTTCCATCTGAGCAGAGACTACTCGAAAGCTCAGGCCAATCAAAGGACTGCAGAATCCTTCTCCTTGAGGCATTTGCAAATATTTTTACCTGGAGCAATTCAAAAGTTCAATGATTCAATAAAAACTGGTGACACCATAACTCATAAGAATTCTACATCCACTACATCTAGAAAGAAGAAGATAAACAAAAAGAATCTGCATTGAAGGTTGAAACAACATACCCCTAAAGACTTTGAAATAGCAAGATAAACACGCTCTTTTCCAATGCTATATGCCCCAACAACAACAAGGGTTTTAGGTTGCATTTTGAGATAGTAGTTAGTGACCCTGACAACAAAACTTAATACATCTTCTTTGGAAGGGAACCTGAAAGACCAAATGTTTTGCAAATATATGACTAAATAAAAAAACAAAACAGAGAAGGTCTAGTTGAAGGATTTTTGATTGAGAAATTTCTTACTTGTATCTTGGGTTGCAGTATGTGGTGTCCAGGTAAAGCAGGTTAACTTGGTGGTTGACAAGAAGGGGATATGTTTGCATCAGTTTACAAGACCTGAAGTCTCCAGTGTGCAAACAGCATTTTCCATCAGGAAGACGAAAGTGAATTAAAGCTGCACCAGGACAGTGGTTAGCTTCTAGCAATGTTACTTTGATTCCTTGGATAGAATGTTCCTTGTCTAATTCCAAAGGGTTGATAAACCTTTACATGGAAAGATCACGCAAAGAGTAAGCCAATGGAATGAAAAGGCATAAGCAGAATTCAAAGACCCAACTCCTACAAGCTCACTTACAATGGGTTCACAGAGAGACACAATGTGAGCAAGCGAGCAGTGAGAGGGGTGCAATAGATAGGGCCATGAGACCATCCCTTGGTGAGGCCGCCATAATGATCATAGTGGAAGTGTGTAAGGAAATAGGCAGAGCATCCTTGAACACAACCGTAGCGGAATGCATCCACAGTGAAGGGTGTTCCTGTATAACGCAACGCAAATGGTTTGGACTATCAAAAGAAACCCCCTTCTTTAAGTAAAAAAGTTGGAGTAACAGCAAATGATCCAAAACGAACACATAATTTAAGAAGCAAATGCGGCTCCTGCATCTTGCAAGGCTTGGGTTTTGACTACATGACATGAGTAACTAAAATGTTCATATATGGTAAAGAAACGGGAGAAGAAGCAAAAGTTAACCTGGGATCTTTTTGTAGAAAGGGCAAACGTGGGGCCGATTGGAAATACTAGTGGAAGAAGGTTTTGGGTTTGGGATGTTGGTGCGATTGGGAGTGGGAAAAGCGGCATCTTGGTGGAGGCGAGGCTTCTTCAGCCCCCACATCTGGAACAGATTGGCCTGCTTCAGTTTTCTGCTCCTGCCTCTGTCGCTGTCCATGTCCTCTCTCGCCAAGCATGACCAATCGGTTCCACAACGATAGAAATCCGCAGCGAAACTTCCCTCTTCTGCGTCCTGACGGTCCTGTTCAACCAACGGAAAACCATTCTCGTCCAGTAAAAGGTCGGACGATTCGTGATTGCAACCGTAATTGTCGTCAGAGCTATGATCTGCATGCATTAGCAATGGCATCGTCTTCGTCAAAGATACCCAGAGCTCTCTTGGCTTTACCTCTACTCCCTCGTGGGCTCCTAGCTAGTTTTGTTGGAAGGAGGCCTTTCAAAAAACTGAGCGCCCCCGCCTCCTGGCTCCTCTCAAAGTTTTCAGCGGCTTGACATTTGAAATATTCTCGACCGCATGGAGATACCACCCGCATCTGATTATAGCTCATCAACATGTCTTTTCGGTGTTTGATAATGTTTTGATCTGCTGTCGTGTGCCCCAATCTTAGTCTTGGAGTTATTGCTCGTAGTTAAAAAGAGTTATCAAGTAATTATATATTTTATATTTAAGGTGCACTTAGAACGATTCAATTATAATTAAATATATTTTTAATATATTCAAATCTTTATTTTTAAAAATTAAAGGTATAATATTTATAAAAAATTTTAAATAAATTTTTTATTCTTTTATAACATGTTAATGAAAAAATCTCAATAAACAATATATCAAGAAGAAGGGTAAATTGATATATTAAATTTTTAAAAAAAATTTAACTATAAAAAAATCAAAACGTTTTCAATTGAAAATATTTTCTTGCATCAAAATCAAGTTTCCAATAATAAATCACTGAACATAAAAATAATATATTAAAGTAAAATATTTTTTATAAATTTAATTGCTAGCTATAAAAATAAAGAGAAAACATTTTCCTAAGTGTAAAACAATAAATCAATGTAAAACTATTTTCTTATGACAAATAAAGGCAATGAATAATAATGTGAGAAATTAAAAAGAGACAAAGAATTTATAGTGGTTTTGCTTTTTCAATACTTACATCCACTTCATTGGTAACCAAAAAATTTCAATCCATTATTAAAGATTTTTGCTTTTTAACAAGATAAAATAATAACCCTCACACAATCCATAAAGAGATTTTTGTTTTTTAATGGGATCAAGCAATACACCCTATAACGGTTCTTTCATTAGATCAAGTGATAACTCTTATACAATCCATCAAAAGATTTTTCCTTTTTAACAAAATCAAGCTATAACCCACAAATAACTTTTCAAGATTAAGTTTGAACCTTTACAAATGTGTGTACAAAGGAGTAATAACAAAGATTTGCCTTAGAAAAGCTAGATGCTAAAGATTTTAGCTTGAGTGTAGTGAGAAAAGAAAAATCAACTTGAATGAAGTAGGATTCAACTTTGTAAGCTTGGTGGGAGACTAAAAAGATGCTAGAGAGTAAATATGAGCTTTTGGTAGTCTTTTTAGGATTTGAAGCTTTGGTTCATATCTTCTCTTACTTCGAAATGGTTCAAATGCATCTATTTATGGTTGGAGCAAACTTTAGATTCATTATGTACAAGTTTGAGTCAAATCTGACTGTTACTGAAGCTTGAGAGCTATATAATCGAGTATAACCTTCCTTTATTCATTCATTTGCTCGAGAACTTGTATTTTGTAAATATGTTCTGTTATAGTCGACTATGCGTCCTCTATAGTCAACTATAACTATGTAAAGTCAACATTTTTAAGCTTTTGACTTGTCAAGATTGATTATATTTGGTTTAGAATTGACTATATCTATTCAAAACTTGATTTTCTTGAGCTTTCTAGAACATGGTTGACTATAAACACTTCAAGGTTGATTATGGTTGTATATAATCTTCAACTTTTACACTCTTTTAACTTTTGGATCGAATTGAGCTTTTTTAGGATCAACTTTTGGCTTGTGTTTTAAAGTTTCCTTAACCTTTCAATGCTTTTTTGCAGTTATTTTCTCATTATCTTGTTCTTACTTTTTAATAACATATCAAGGTGTGTTTGCTTTTGCATTTTTAGTTGAACATGTATTATTTGAAAACTTATAAGGTGCTTTTTATTGAAATATGGCTTTTCAAAGAAATATGTAACCTTGAGAGATTAAAAATGTATTTGAGGTAATTTCAAATGCTTGACATTAAATTTAAGAAAACATGTGATTTTTTTTAAAATCAAAATATTTAACTCAAGGATAATACAATGTTTTTAAGTTTTTATGATTAATTATTATTAGTCTAAATACCACTTGTCATTATTTTTAGTCATATGGTCATGACAAGTATATTGACATGTCATAATAATATGACATGATAATATGGTCATATGGCATATTTACCTTCCTAGTCAACATCGTATGGGAATAAAATGACAAATAATATTTTCACTTATGTCAATTAATCAATTTATTTAGTTTAAAATAAAAGTAAATGGGTTTAATTTAATGCAATAGAAAAATAAGGGCATATTTGAATTTTGTGATAACTTAAATTTGATTGAAATCATTTCAAATTTTATTTTAATAACCTGTAATTCAATCAAGTAAATATTTTTATTTTAAGTCAAATAAACTCTTATAACTAATTGTTGACTAAGTGCTATCAATTAAAATATTATTTATTATTTTATGTTCATATGGCATTATATATAAAAAGTAAAAAATGGTATGTAATTATGTCATCATGGCATGTCAGCACCATATAATATAAAATGGATGTTACATTTTGTCTAATGGTAATTAATCAACTATTAATTTTGAACAAAAACAAAAAAAAATATCATTAGTCATTAGGGTTTATTTGGTTAGAACTAAAAGTATTAGGGTTTGATTGAACATAATAAAAGAGTAAAGATTTAGTCGAATTTTCTTGAATAATTCAGAAACTTTTTTTTAAGTCTTATATCAAATTAAAAGGTAAAATACCCCCACCTCTAAAGTTTTAATCAAAATTTCAAATGAGTCCCTTAGTTTTCAAAATAGACACTTCATCTAAAAAAATATCTTTCGTTAGAAACATAGGTGCAGTCATAAATCAACCATTAGTGTTTTCATTAGTTTGATGATGTGGTAATATTGAAAGGACAATTTTACATTGTATTAATTTTAAAAATTACTATTATATAATTTTTATTAATTTTAAAAAAATAGAAGAGTATCGATTGATGCTCCTTGAATTTTTTTATCTTTTAAAAAATTATATAATAATTTTTTAAATTAATAAAGAAAAAAAGACATCTTAGGCCTTTTATATTCTCGGTTAATGGTGTTTACACTTTTAGGAGTGGAGTATTCATTTTAAAAACTAATGGATCTATTTGAAATTTTGATTAAAACTTAGAAGACAGGAGTGTTTTTTTCCAAATTAAAAGTTCGAATTTAACCCAACACGAAAATGTATTTTGATAAGTTATAATATAATACAACAGATATATTAAAATAAACAAACTCAACATTAATATCTTATCATTGAAAAATTGGTAAAATATCTTTAATTTTTATATTTTGATTAAAATTACATAAAGATCTATTAGTTTTCAAAATAGACAATCTGCACCAAAAGTACAAACATAATTAACAGAAGTTATGAAAACACAAAATGTTTTTTTTTTATTAATTTTAAAAATTATTATTATTTTTTAAAAAATAAAAAAATAAAAAAAGTAGAAAGCACCAATCGGTGCTCCCTAGGTCACCAAGAAAGGGGAGCAATAACTAGTGCTCCCAAGGGAAGGGAGCACCGTATTGGTGCTCTCTTAAGGAACTCGATCGGGGCTCCCGAAGGGAGCTTTAGTGCTTTTTAGATGGAAGTTTTTTTTAATTAATTAAAAATAATAAAATTATATAATAGTAATTATTAAAATTAATCAAAGATAAAATTATCTTTTTATCTTTATCATGTCAACAAGTTGACAGAAATATTAACGATTTAACTATCGACTAGACCTATATGTCTAATGAAAAATATTTTGTTTGGAGTGAAGTTTTCATTTTAAAACTTAAAGTACCTCTGTATAATTTCGATAAAAACTTAAAAAATAAATGTATATTACCCTTAAAAAGATAATATAATATTTAAAAAAACTCTTAAACTATTTAAAAAAAATTTAAATAAGTCTCAATACTTTTATTACGTTCAATATAGCTTTTATACTTTTTTTTAACCAAATACGTTCATATTTTTTTTCGAAGTCCACTAAGTTTTTATAGTTAATGATTAACTTAATTAAAATATTATTTATTATTTTATATCCCGTGATTCTAACATGACATACTAACAATTTAGTTTTTACCATCTATAATATCTTTCTAATCTAATTCAACATTCATCAACTATAATAAGCTTAAAAATTACACAAAATTTTCTTGTGAAATCCATAAAATTATTATTAATATATAACAATAGCAACTTAGAAAAATAATACTACTTAAAAAGACAAATTTGTTTTTTCTTATGAAATCTATAAAATTATTGTTAATAGATAACAATAGCAACTTCAAAAAATAATACTACTTAAAAAGGTAAATTTGTTTCATTAAACAAGTTTTTTATTCGGGTGTCCGATCAAAATTGATTAATACATAAATCGATGATGAATATCTTTAATTTTCAAATCATAATTTTACTCGAGATCATATGAAATTTTAATTTTGTTATCTAAAACTTACACGCATGTTTATAAATATTCAAAACCATATTAATTAGAGTTTAATTGGATCGATTACCCAATTAAAAGGCGGGAAGCGAATGCCATCACTACTTTTCTGCATGGGCTGCCAAGGTTTGTTTAGCCGTCAGACGTCAAAACGAAATGTATTTGTTCTGGAAGCGAAGCCGGAGAACAGCAGAAAGATTGTGCCAAGGGCTAAAAAGACGCCAGAACGATTATTCAACGGTCAAAGCGTGGGATCATGAGTTAGTGTGGTGTCGTATGTAGAAAATTCGTATACCGACAGTTGAGTACGGCGGCCTTCGCGGTGGGTAAAGTATCATCAGTCATCTCGCCTGTTCATTTCCTTTGCTATTGACCTCACACCTCAAAATTCTAATCTTTTCCCATTCACAAGTCCGAAATAGCAAGCTTCTTAGCATTTATTATATCTAAATGAATCTTTAATTTTTAATTTATATTTAATTTAATTCTAATAAAGAATTAATCATCTTTAGATATAATATCAATTATAATTTTATATTTATGTAACATATGATGTAATTAACATGTTTGGTCCAGTCAGTTACACGTGTTAGTGTTAAATTTGATAAAATTAAAATTAATTTTTAAGAGTTAAAAAATTTGTTTGAATAGCTTCGGACTCAATATTAATGAATATTTTTTATAAACGTGAGATATAATGTAAGTCATTGACATTATTGACACATTTGGTTCCTATGAGTTACAATGTTAATTAATATTGAGTTGTAAACCAATCAAGTGGGTATAAAATGTCAATTAATAATAAATTTAATCATAATTAATTTTTCATTAAAATTAATAATTTACAATAATAAAAAATGTTAAATTTGATCAAACATTTTAAATATTTTAGTCAATACACAAACTTACTTTTCATTGTATTTTTTAAAAATAATTTAATAATAAGCGAAGGCAAATATAAGTATATAACCAAAACGCAAAGCCAAAAGCCAAAACTACTTCTTCTTCTGCCTTTATTTGAATAGGAATACATAAGTTTTATTTTTCGTACAAGGTTTTTGGTTTTTTCTTTTTTCTTTTTAATTGGATCAGCTCGTAGTGCCCGACCCTCCAACCAATTAGCATTATTCGGTATTCATCGCAACCAAATCGCATAAAAGACACCGGTCGGGGTCCATCGGATTCCCATTTTCCGTTGAAGGTGAGCGCTAGCTCCGGCGACTCCTTTTTTTTTTTTCATTTTTTGTTTTTTTTGTTTTTATGTTTTTGTGGGGTTGATTTTAAGCAAGGAGAAGAATTCCGGCATTGAATTAGATTAGATCTCCCAGGACAAGACTTGGATCTTTTTTCGCTTGCTGCGTAGATCCTCTGCTTCGTTTCTCTGTTATCTACATTCTACACACGCAGATTCTGGTATAGGATCTGCTCTTGATTTATTTATTTATTGTTTGGGTAAATGAAGTTTTTCCTTTTCATTGTCATTGCCTTGAAGAATCTCAGTTACACTTTCCTGCATTTCTTCCCATTCGTGTTACTTTTCAATTGTTTATGTGTATTCTTTTTTACCTCCTCAACAAGTCAAGATTGAACGCTGCTGCCAATTACTAGAAATAATGGCCTCTTTTGGGCATGGTAACAAGTATGTTGATTCAATTATCATGCTGTCTTCTTTTAGTCTGCTATCTTTACCTTCATCTGGATTAGGGTTGTTCTTATGGTAGCTTAATTTTGCCATTTTTCTTTCCTTTATAAGCTTCCTCACTTTTTTTTAAAATAATTTTAATTTTTTCTTTTCTTTCCAAATGCTACATGGTTCTTCGTGGGGGAATGAATTTTTTATGCCATCCTTGATTATTTGCAGGCATCCCTTTGTTGAATTGTGCATTTACCCTATTTCCCTCAACAAATTTCTCTGCTGAGCCGGACATTCTTTTAACATGGGCTTGAAGGCCCTTGCCAGCAGATAGCAGAAAATGTGCATAACCGTGTTGTATGAGACTACATTTATTGTCGATAACTACTCTAGCTCAGCTTAACTTCTCAACTGCATGTTGGTTTTCCTGGAGGGGGATCACATTTCTAAACCATGGGAGAGTGGGTCATTGGAGCATTCATCAACCTCTTTGGCAGTATTGCCATCAACTTTGGGACAAACCTTCTTAAATTAGGTCACAATGAGGTATGAAAGTCGCAAAATTTTGTTTGCTATCACCAACTCATGTTGGAAAATTACTTTGTCGGAGATTTTTTTAGCATTCTTGAGATGTTTGCCAAGCCAGACAGTTGTCTTTGTACTTCTATAAATGTTCATGTTGCTTCTCTAGCATTCAACAAGACAAGAAAAATAGGCATAAAAAACCATATGCACAACTTATGGTGTTACTAGCAGGCATGAGCCTTGTAAAAATTTTGCTTTCATGTGGTTAGGTCTGAATTCCATTAATACTGATGGGTTGTGCCCGTTCTTCGGATAAATGTGTTTCTGAATTTTCTTTTTCTAGTGTGTAGTGAAACATTATCAAATGTGAACATGAATGTTCCTTTTGTTTCTATACCTCACTATTCAGTAACTTGTCCACTCTTTTATCTATCAAAGAGCTTGCAGGGATATCAAATATTTAGTGTGACAGCTCTGTTTTTTCAATCCTAATACCATTTTGCTTGTCTCATTGGCTCTACCTGAATTCACAGAGAGAAAGACATTCTACAATGGATGGTGGAGGAAAGACCCCCTTGAAGCCTATCATATACTTCCAAACTTGGAGAGTTGGTATAGTATAATCTTATGGTGCTAAATCAAATAAATTGGTTTTTGTTTCTGCTATGTGTGGAGTGATTTAATGTTAAAATGTAAAATTCTTAATTTGCAGGTATTCTCTTTTTTGTTCTCGGAAATTCCCTAAACTTCATTTCGTTTGGTTATGCCGCTCAGGTCAGTACGTCCAGCCTTCTGATCTGAATAGGTTCAATTTCAACAAATGGCATATTCCCTTGGACTCAAAATAATATTCCTCTATAAGAAAGCTCTAAGACTAAGAATCTAGAATAAATGCATCTACACTTAATGTTGTGGGCTACTGGGATTGATATATTAAGTTTTATCCTTAACCTTTTTTTGTTGGTAAGTAGCTTTAGGAAGCTGGATAATGATTACTTGCTTACTTTTTATTTTAACAATTTTTTGTTGGGACACTCCAAGCAATGGGGGATTTTGGGATGAAGGAATTTTAGGTTTTTAAGTATCTTTCTGATTACCACTGCATCTTTTGCAAGGTTAAACATTGTTCTTGTGTTTTAATAACTTTGTATGTTTCTTTTCTAGCTTATTTCTTTTCCTTTCTCTCATATTCCCTCTCTCTTTTTCCTTTGCAGTCACTTCTTGCAGCCTTGGGATCTGTTCAGTTTGTATCCAACATTGCATTTGCCTTCTTCGTGTTAAACAAAATGGTTACAGTAAAGTATGTTTTAGTCTGAAGTGAGAGAATTAAATTTTGATAACTAGAACTGAGTATTCACTTTTATGTCCCCAAATGTTGTCTCTAACTGTCTCAGTGTCATTGATATTGTTTCCAGGGTACTAGTTGCCACTGCATTTATAGTTCTTGGAAATATTTTTCTTGTCGCCTTTGGAAACCACCAGTCCCCTGGTATGTACCATCACTTGATTTTAGACTTAATTGCTTTAGCTTTGAAATCCTGATTGCATCCCTTCCTCCTGAGCATCAGCCAGATGAGGCAACTGAAAAAGAAAGAAGACATATAACAATACATACATATATATAAACATTGAGAGAAAGAGTTGTTCACATGCATGCATGGAGACAGAGCTTTAGTTTCACTGATTTTATTACAAACTTCATGGGGGTTTTCTGTTTTCTTTTCAGTTTATACACCAGAGCAATTGGCAGAGAAATACAGCAACATAACATTTCTTCTTTACTGCCTAATTTTGATCTTAGTTGTTGCATTACATCACTCTATCTACAGGTGAGAGTTGGGAGCCAGCTATTCTACTCTTTCTACTGCACTGTATTTTAGCCATTTGTTTAATTGTTTGACACGCCTTAACATGCAAACAATCAGGAGAGGGGAACATCTCCTTGTGGTTTCTGGACAAGACCTTAGACCATATTGGAACATGCTGCTTCCTTTTTCATATGCTGTAGTTTCAGGTGCTGTGGGATCATGCTCGGTGTTATTTGCAAAATCTCTGTAAGTTGGCTGTTTTAAATGCAATTAATCTTTTGCATAAAACTAGCATTGTGATTAATTCTAATTGCGAATTTCATGTTATCCAGCTCTAACCTTCTAAGGTTGGCGATGTCCAATGGTTATCAGTTGCACAGCTGGTTTACATACTCCATGTTACTTTTATTTCTTAGTACAGCTGGATTTTGGGTAAGAATTATGGCAGAACTTACTCTTATTCTACTACCATGAAGAGTGATTTTTGGAAAATTATACATGAGCTTTCGTCCTGCAGATGACAAGGTTGAATGAAGGACTGTCACTCTTTGATGCAATCCTTATTGTTCCCATGTTTCAAATTGCTTGGACTTTCTTCTCCATTTGTACAGGATTTATTTACTTTCAGGAATATCAGGTCTCTCTCTCTCCCTCTCTCTCTCTCTCTCTCTCTCACACACACACACACACACACACAACAAATGCATATTATGTCCAGATTCTTGGTTCAAATCACTGCACTCCCTGTTCCCACGAATTATTTTTCAATGTAATATATCTTCAGTTCAGTAAGATCATTTTGCTGAACTTCTTGGAGAATTTCAATGCCTTGTTGTGCTGAGTAAATGCTAAATTATTTTTGTTTTTTTTATCTGTAGCTGCCTTTTGCTGCTAGTGGTTATAGGACAGCCTTCTGTAATCTTGTTTTTCAATAAGTAGTTATCATTCATTAAAAAAGAACTAATTGGAAATTGATGGCATTTGTCCATTTGTCATGTAGCAAGGCTGTAAAGCTAATCGTGCAGGTAGTTTGCACAAGCCAATATTCTTCAACTCTAGCCCCTATGTTCTGGATAATGGAATTAGATGACCTCAATGGGTGTTTTTGTTTAATAAAACAGGTGTTCGATGCACTGAGGACAACTATGTTCATACTAGGAATGATGTCTGTGTTCATAGGCATTTCTTTATTGGCACCTGATGAGTCAAGAGGTACTTAAAGGAGTTTTATAATTCTGTTATAGAGCTTTTAAAAGTGGAAGCTTAATCTGACTTCCATTTTTTACCCTTTTTTCAGGCGGTGAAATTAAGGATATAGATTCTGTTATGTCTTCAAGCAATTCGACTGAAACTGACAGGTAAAAAGCAGATTTCCTGGTGTTGATGAATAACCTGTGATCCATCATGGGTTGTAATAGATGAGAGCTAATGAAATGTTGACAAATGAACACATATTTATGTTCCTTTACCTATGCTGAGGTTATAAAGGCTTGCATGTACCTGCATTGTTATCTACTGAATTAGTTCTGTGGAAATTTGTTAATGGGAGTTGATTCATTTTTGTGCTATGTTAGATATTTGTTCATCTTTACTTAACCAACGGTTGTCATTTTTCCCCCTCCTAGGTTGATCTTGCCATCCGAAGATGTACAGAATAAAGAGATAAAATCATTTACACAAGGAATGATGGTAAAGATCACAGATATGCTAGCCAAGGCAAAGGTACTGCAAATTGGATTTGTAGACTTACCCTTTTACAAGATCATTGTAACACTAATATAGTGCTAAAGTTGACATTGGAATTCCCTTCGCAGACGACATGTTTGTTATCATTAGGTTTCGGGGAGGATTCGATCAATGCATCTGCAGTTCTTGTAATGCCTATGATGTCATCAAAGATAACAGGCTTTAGAGGAGGTGGGTTTGATCGGAGTCGGATATTCTCCATGAAAAATTCTAGTTGGACTAGAGTTGCAATGGATGAAGATAGTGCGAAGATGTTGAATGGAGGACCGGTGCTCCCGCAAAGCATCCGATAGGGATAGCAATGAGCATTGATTTTTTTTTTCTTTTCTCATACTTGTCACTAGTAACACGTTAGCTTTAGGATTGATTTGTTCTTGTGAGATTTGTTGAGCATATTGTTGCTCATAGAAGCATCACACTCATACGTTTACTACAATGTATAGTCTTTGCTTACTTGATTGAAAGGAAAGGAAAGGAAATACTCCTCTTTCTTGGAGAATGTAATTAAGAAAAAGAATACTGCTGGAACGACTTATGCCCTCGTCGGGTTATTCCAAAACAAATTGTTGAAGTTACTACTACGTATTTTTGTCATGAATAGTTCTTGCCCGCAGACAATATGCCCCGTTTTTGGCCCCATATTCACATTAATGTGACTTTCAATACTTAAAAATTACCTAGCAAAAGAAAAGAGTGATGCTGTGGGCTAAAGTTCGGTGAACCCTGAGAAAGGAATTAAGATTTACCGAATTTATGCTGACGTTTATTGGACAGTATGGTCAGATATTGATGGCAGCAAGTCCATTTTTGTCAACTTAGATAAGTTTATGGTTATCCTGGATCTAAGCTCTGTTGGGATATACAGGATTCATCTCAGGTAACTTCAGGTGACCGTATATGCAAATTACAAGCACACTGGTCTATTCGATTGCATCTTTTTGAGCTTTTCTGATGTTGGGAAGTTGGCTTCGGCATTAAGAGTTTTCAGCTATTATACACACAAGTGTCTACCAAGCGTTATCACCCAGTTCTCAGTAAGGCCCACTCCAAAAGCTTTTATCAATCTAGCAATTGAATGGGTATATTGTAAAGGTTGTCCAAAGTATACCAGAGACATTTCCCATGGAATCCAGCTTCATTGAACTAAAGGTGATTTCCTGCAAGGATCTGAAAGCATTCAATTTCTTCCAGAAACTCTCAGTCTATGCCCTTGTTTCCATTGCCAGTAATGATGACAAGAAAGTGGTTGAGAAGCAGCAACAACAGAGGACACCGACCGACAGAGAAGGGGATGGAAATCCAGAGTGGAACCACACGATACGCTTAGAGGTGAGTCAGGCATTGTTTCAGGATTGCGATAACCTCTTTATTCACTTTGATCTGCGCCATGAAGGAGTCATGTTCGGAGACAAAACTATTGGAGAAGTTCGTGTTCCCTTCAGGGATGTGATCCAAGTGTCCAATGGAGTGGTTAGATTCGTGATTTACGAGGTCCGGACCACAGAAGGCAAATCCAATGGAGTATTGAACTTCTCCTTTAAGGTTAATGGGAAGGATCAAGGTTTAGGGACAGACTCCCCAGCAAGCCAGATAGCTGGCTATCCAGTAATTCATCACTCTCCAGAGACTCAGTTTTCTTCATCAGAAGCTCATAGCGAATCGCCAACAGTCCACTACCCATTTCTAGAATTAGAAAATATGTTGCAGGGAACCCAGCTGCAGTCTTCATTATCTGGAAATCAGGATCCCTTCCAAGAAAATCATTTTATGCCACAAAATGCTTACTATCAGCTCCCGCCACCTCCACCTCTGATGCCACCACTGCCACATCCACACCACACCACCACTCACCTCCTCCTCGCCCTGCACCCTTTCCACATGGCCTTGTTGCTACCCTCCTCCACCAGGGGCCAACCCTTGGGGCCCCAGCCCTTATGTGGGTGCTCCTGGTTACAGCACGCATGGGTCCCAGCTGGGGTCTGCTGATGGACACTTAGAGACGAGGCCGAACGGTTGGCAAGGAGTGGAAAACCGCCATTCATCTTCTTGGAATGGTAGGTGAGACGAATGGAACATGTTTGGACTTTGAATTGTTCTATTATTGAGCTGTTATTTTGTTTTATCTTTTTTGAGGAATAATAAAATTATGTACTATTGTTACTTTTCAAACAATATAGTCTCATTGTTCCAAAAATATCAGAGATAGTATTTAAAATGGTCTTTGAATTATATAAAAAAATTTAAATAAATTTTTTCTTATAACATTCAATCAAATTTTTATAATTTTATTTTAAATTAAATAAATTTATATAATTAATAATTTTTTTAAAAAAAATTAATTTTATGATTAACAAAAATTAATTATTATTTGTTAAAATATCATTTGTCATCACAAATCGACATATCATAATAAATAATTACGTGATCTATGGCGTAATGATATAATTATATAATATTTTTTATTTTTTATGTGATTATAAAAATAATAAATAATATTTTAATTAATAATAATTAATTAACTATTAATTATAATTACTTATATAATTTAAAATAAAAATAAAAATATTTAATTAAATGTAACATAAAAAAATAAATATTTATGTAAATTTCAAAAATAAATTATGAATTTTTTCGAATATTATTTCAAAATATTACTAACATCTTCGAGCGAAAAAAGATGAGAAAGACCCGGAAAATATAGCATTACAAAAAGGCAGAAAATTCTCTAATGCATGAAACAACTGTTTTTGTTAATTCATCTTGCATCTCTGATTTTTCTTAATAAAATGTTGCAAAGCTTAATTAAGAGCTGGTATTACTGTTACATGCCGAGGAAGTAATCTGGATTTGAACGGGGGCGTCCATGCGAGTTACTAGATAAAATTGTATAACACGAACATTTGACAGGGAAGAGATTTAACCCTTTCCATACGTGGTTTCTGGCTGTTTGCTTGTAAATTAAGAGGGCGCTGGATTTTTCCTCATCTCAGGCACTGCTGCTTTGCTTGTAGAGGGGCATGCATCAGTCCATACATGCTTATGAACGTAAGCTACACACATCGTTCCTGGTTTGCTTTCTGCCTCGATTTGCTCTTGAACTAAGCTATGCTATGATTCCCTCCTTCCAAGCAAAGCAAAAAGGGCGGTCGGTTGCTTAAAGTAAGCAACCAGTTTATTCATTTTATTCCACTCGATCAGGACTGTGCATCTCTTCCCCCCCAAGTCATTTGGCCCTCAAATTTCTGGGTTTCTCCTACTGAAATAGTTGCTATAAACTTCAGGCAGACAAAGCTTGCTGGAATTAAAGGAATGTGGACAGAATCAAACCAATGATGATCGTGTGAAGTGGGAAGAGTTGGGTGAAAATGGGGTAATGGTGGGTCTCAAAAGCCTAAATCCTGTTAAAAGCAAACGCAGAGAGCCAATTTTATTTGTGCAAGTTCCACTAACATCAAATACTTTCAGACCAAACACCTATAAATTATGACGGTTCACCAGAAAGGTGCCTATGGAGAAGGATACGACAAGCCAACGTTCCAAATCTACTGCATCATATTATCAATTTCATTTTTCGAATCTTTACAGAACAAACAATACACCAATATTTCAATACAGATTTTTTTACAGGAATAAAATTTCAGAAAGGAATCAAAAGAAAAATGAGCATATCATACAGCTCCCAAAATTTGCATTATGTATTCAGAATGCAGCTATGCTTCATCCAGATCATCTTCAATGTGTAAGGATGGAATGAGGCTCCCTTGCACGGTTGGCAACCAAAGCAGCTTGATATTGGTTTGGTGGCTGTACTCTTGTGTTACTTTTTTTGGATAGTATTATACAGATACCAGGCAGTTCCTCTAGCAAGCATGTCCTAGAACTGCATCTCCTGAATCCTGATATTGCAGCAATTGTATACGACTTTGCGCCTTTAGCTGCTCATAGAACCTTTTGATGAACTCCTCTGCCTCGTCGTCGACTTGTCTGTTTAGGCCATCAGTTTCATCTTCTGATGAATAATTGGACACCCTCACAGAAAATGGTGACAGAAGCGGGCTTCGCTCCTCTCCAGGGGCAAGCTCAGAAGCATCAAATCGGAAGTTGAACGAGTACTCAGGTGTCTTGGGCACCAAGACAACAGCGTTAGGTTCTTGTTCAAGGTGTTGTTGATCGTCGTCGTCGTCTTCTTCTTCTATGACCTCGGGGGGATTGATGCAGGGGAAGTAGTTATGGTGCTTACGTTTTGAGACGTGGAAAAAAACAGGGTTGGGACTGTTGCTGCAGGAGAATTCGTATTCCTGTAAGCCGACGCTACCACGTGTGACGCGTTTGGAGTGGTGGTGATGGGAAATGAGGTTGCTGAGGGATTTTCTAAGAAGCTTGCCTCTCTTCATCATCAAATTCATGTCCATCATCAACTTCCTCTTGGATATTAATCCCTTCCTTATCATAAAGAATGTGATCCTCAACACATTCCATAGCCTCTTGGCTATAACTGGTGTACGTGCGTGCACCTCCATGGCACAAAAAACGAACAATCTAGGATATAACTTAGAGCTTCCAGGCTCTAACAAACAATAAACTGAATTATGAATTATAACAACCAAAGTTAATTCTGAAGAAATAAAGAGAAGGATAATAGTTTCAGGTAGCTAGATAGAATGCTAGATAGGCTTGATTAGAAGATGGGTTTTCTTGTTTCTGCGAAGTTTGCTAGACCTCACAGAAGAAAAGAAAACCCTTTTGAGAGAAAATTGAAGTGGGAGGGCTGGGAATTTATATATAAATGTAAAGGGTGAGGGGGGTAACAGCAAAAAGATTTATTTAAAGAAAGAGAAGTGTTGATGTTTTTTCAAGGAAAAAAAATGGTAATTAAAGAAGCAATGATGGAGACAGGGAGTGAAAGAGGGACCTCAAGCTCTAGAACCAGAAGATATTAAAAATGGACCCAACAACCGCTCCTCCGCGCTGCCTTTTGTTTTAAGACAGAAATCAAAGGAAAAAACAAAGAAGCCAACAATGATCATGGTAAGTGAAGAGGAATTTATTAGTTGAGGTGTTGAGTTCATTACAGCTAACACAGCGTCTTCGAAATTCAATAAAGTGGGCAGTGGGGCTACTGCTTGCTTTTGCAACGGCACAGAAACAATGATCTGGCCAGCTAAGTTTGGCCAAAGCTAAACCAAAGCAACAGGGCAGGAGCCTCTCCATCTTTCTTCAAATAATCAAAGATCCATTCATGTTCAACACCTTTCACGTGGGACTAAATTATAGGCACCCATCTGAATTTGCTGATAAATTTACCACTTGAAACTACGAATATTACTAGCACTTGTATCTGCTTCAGTTTTGATGTTAAATGCCTTGACTCAAGGTTTAAAGTAAGATGAAGGTAAAACAGACGTTTGATCCACACTCCCCTTCCTATCCGTGTTGGCCTGCCTTGCCCTGCTACCTTATCCTCCAACAACTTATGGAAAATGGTGTTGCTTTTTCTCACTTCCTTATTAGTATTTGATCCCCATGGGTTCTTCCATGAATTATTTGGGGTTCATGATTGGCCACTTAGACGAAGATGGAATCAGAAAAAGGAAACAAAAGAAGTCAGTGGCTGCAGTTTGGATGAGGCCCTCATTGATTTTAAGCCCTTTTTGCATTTTAATTCAGATTAAGGCATTCTGCCACCCTGCCATTGAGCAGATTATGTCTCCGGGAAATGAAGATAAAGGGCAATGGAACAAAGACTTTTGGAGTTTCCTGCCATGGCAAAGAACCTCTTTACCGGTAAAGAACGCGCATATATGAGCCCAACTGGTTTTGCCTCTTCTTCCTAGCCAACTTGCTATGTT